TATATATATATATATATATATATATATATATATATATATGTATATATATATATATATATATATATATATATATATATATATATATATATATATATATATATATATATATATATATATATATATATATATTATGATTTATATAAAAAAAAGTTATTTATTCTTTTTTTTTTTTTGGAGAAGGCTATTGTTTATATATATCACTTAATAACACTTTATAATAACTACACACTATGAATCATTTACTAATCATTAGCATCTAGTGAATTCATTATTTGTAAAGCATTACCTGTACATTAATAAGCGTTTGTAAGCAGTTTATAACTGCAGCTACAAATGCTGTATTCTTCACTTGCAACCACATTTATAATGTGCTTAATAATTGCATTTTCATCCTTTCTTATTGACTTGTTTTTCATTATTAAATTCAGTATTGCATTATTTACAAACCAGTTGTATTTAATAGTAGCTAATTGTTTTTTTTAAGATCATTTAGAACGAGTTCTAAATAATTAATAAATCTTATTTGAATGAATCTTAATTTGAAATTAGCATTTATAATTCTTATTATTCAGGCATATAGTAATAATTAATTTGTCTGTTAATAAATGCTTTATTAACTCAACTTCATGCAGTTTTGTGCCCTAATCTAAAGTGAGGGCTGTTTATCCTTTATAAATCTCTTATTAGTGACAATTTAAGGCTCAGTATCAGACCCGTATCTTCATTAACGTATGGTATTTTGTTTGTTTATTCAGTGTTTTTTTTTTTAAAGTGTTTAGAATTTCAATGCAGAAACCGAAATCATTAAAGATGTCTTTACAAATACTGTAAATACTGTAGAACTTCAATTTTCCAAAGAGGAACAAATTCTCTTGTGTGTTTGGAATGTATTCAAGGGTCACATTTATACCAAGTTTATCAATGGCCTTGACATTTCCACCAGCCTCAAGAAGTTCACTACAACTTTGTGGCATTACATTGATACAGTAAATGAATTGGCATATCTTGTCCATATTAACTTCAATAGCGTTGGTTAAATGTTTAGAAACTTTCCATTTCCCCACATTTTAAAAGTAAATTCCCACGTTTAGAAGCTACAACTCTGCATTTCCTTTTGAGCAATGCCAGTGTTACATCAGAGAACTTAACAGCGGGCGAATTCCCTGATTGCCCAAACCATTTAAGCTGCACATTAATACAGTTTTTGGAATATTTAGTCAAAATCTGGCAAATTCAAATAGTGGGCTTATCTTAAATTTTTACATCCATAGACATGTTTGTTTCCAGTTGGATTTAGAGCATTATTTCTTTCTTTCTTTGGGGGGCGGACTCAGAGTTTGCTTTTGACTATTGCACAGCCATCCCATGGCAGGTGGGTCTAAAGCGCGGCTCCGCTCTGGAGGAAGAGCAGGGCACTATTTTAGTCAAAGAGGAAGGCTTCTTCTTTATCTACAGCCAGGTACATAAATACTCTTTTTCTACCTCATAACTGTTCTTTTGAAACATCCCAACACCACGCTCAGTGTTTTTCCCTCATTATTTCAAGCTCTCATTTTCCCAGGTCTACTATACAGACCCCACGTTTGCCATGGGCCACATTGTGATTCGCATAAAGAAGAACGTGGTCGGCAATGAAAGTCAGCATGTGGTTCTGTTTCGCTGCATTCAGAGCATGAATCGAGTCAATCACTACAACACTTGCTATACTGGAGGTGAGCCTGGAAACTCCTGCTGTATATACCTTTGTCAAGCTTGCAAATCTGGCTACAAAGTGTATTTGGGTGAATTTTACAAAATAAACTTTTAGTTTTGCATTTTGAAATGATGGTACTGATATACTTCTGAAGTACTTTTTTTCTGTATTAATATGTTTCATCTGGTCATTTTACTTAAGCTCATAGGTAAATCCAAATGTTTGCAAATAATAAAAGTTAATTGTTAATAATAATAATAAGAAGAATAAAAATAATTGATGTTATTATTAGTTGTTGTTATTATCTATTATTATCTATTAATATTATTAATATTATTATTATTATTATTGTTATTATCATTATCATTATTATTTTTATTATTATTATTAATATTATTTATTATTATTATTTTGCATTGTTGTTATTATTATTATTATTTTTGTTATTATTATTATTATTTTTATTATTATTATTATTATTATTATTATTATTAATATATTACTATTACATTATTTGTTATAATTATTACTATATTTCTTATTATTATCATTATTGTTATCATTGTTGTTATTTTTTTATTATTATTATTTTATTATTGTTTGTCATATTATTATTATTATTATCATCATTTTATTTATGTATTTACTGTTATTATTAGTTTTTATTTATTTATTTATTATCGTTATTATTGTTATTTATTATTATTATTATTTGTTTTTGCTATTATCATTTATTTATTTATTTATTTATTATCGTTATATTATTTATTATTGTTATTATTATTATTATTATTATTTGCTATTTATTTATTGTAATTATTATTGTTATTATTATTGTTATTATTAGTTATTTGTATTATTAGTTATTATTACTGTTATGATTATTACTATCATTATTATTATCATTATTACTATTATTATTATTATTATTATCATCATTATTGTTATATATATATATATATTTTTTTATTGTTGTTATCATTATTTATTATTATTATTATTATTAGTTGTTGTTGTACTTTTATTTAATTTTTTTAACAATACATTTCTAGAAAGTTTTTTTTTTTGTATTACTTTATTTATATTTTCTACACTTGCATATTTCTATATAATATTTTTGCATTTGAGTAAAACCTAAAATTCTTGAATAAAATGACAATAATTTTTGTTTTGTTAAAAAGTTTTCAGACAAGTTTATGTTTATTTTTAGACAATGCAAGCACAATATGTTTTACCTAAGAAGGGTTAATAAATATTTGGCTGATTTGTACACTTATCATTTAAAAAAAAACAGTTTTTTGCATACATGCATTCATTAATAACAAATCTGACTATTTTATTTGAAATTTGGATAAAGTTAAACAAATATAAATATTTTGGTAACACTTTATTTAGAGGTGTCTTTACACATTATATAGTAATTACAACTAATAATGCACAATTACATGCAACTAACACCAAACCTAACCTGCATTCTAATCATAACCATATAGTATGAACATTATTTTTTTTATTAATATTAACCCGTAGTTAAATAAATAGTTACACTGTAAAAAGGACTTTTTAAAATACAGTGTAACCAATTATTTTTCTAAAACCCATAGTAAAACTTCTTATCCTTTTAAAATATGACCCAGACTGATTTTGTGAGAGTAACCTAGAGTTACACAAAAAGTAAAGTCCTAAAGTATCTTATGGCTTGTAAATATGTCATTTGTTAATTTGTTTGAGATTTTTTTTTTTTTTTACTAGTGATGAAAGTGTCACAAAAATGAAGTGAAATGCATACATGGGTCAATCAATAAAGTATAGACCATTTTGAGGGGTGTAAACAATAACAATAGTTGTTCTAACAGATTTCCTTATTTACATTTTTCAATATCATAGCTTTCAAGTATCCAAAAAGGGCCACATATTGATAAATATTTTTATGATAGCTGTTTTAACCTTACGTTATATTGTATTTCCTCTTGTTATAATTTTGAAATAGTTTGACAACAAGCAGGAAATGTTCTTGGGCTAATGACATGACCACATTGAAATGGTCAAATATATAATGTAATTGATCATGTGCTCTGCAGGCGTAGTGAAACTGGACTCTGGGGACAAACTGGATCTTCTGATACCTCGTGCTAATGCTAATATCTCTCTGGAAGGGGACGCCACGTTTTTAGGAGCAATAAAACTGGCCTGAATGTGAGACGGGGCTTTGGATCAGACTTTTAGTGAGACTGGACATGGTCAGAAAGATTGTAATTGTTCAACGCTGGAGTGTGGCAGTTTGGACATCCACCAGACTAAATACTAGAGAGCTGCTCTATTCTTTAAAATGATTATTCATTCTTTATATTCTTTTTTTTACTTGCTTAATGTTACAATTCAGTGGCACTTTATCAAATGTGCCCAAAATGAATTATTTCTTGATGTTAATGGGATGGTTCACCCCAAAAAATGAAAATGTACTCACCCTCAAGTGGTTCCAAAACTTTTCTTTCTTCTGTTAACAGCCTGGGAAAAACAAGTCAGTAGTTTTCAGCATATTTCAAAGTATCTCCTTTTTGTTTTTAACAGAGGGAAGACCTTGTAAAGATTTGAATCAAGTAAAGAATGAGTAAATGATAACAGAGTATTCATTTGTTGGGTGAATTAACTCTTTACACTCAGTCTTTTTAATCTCGTATTTAAATATATTAACTCGAACTGCCATAGAAATTATTTTTTTTGCTAGATTTTCTCAATCCAGTCAGTTAGAAATCAAGTGTCCCTTTGTAAATGTGTTATACGCATGTATTTAACTCAGTATTTACTTTGATTTGTAATAAAAATATGATTTTAACAATGCACTTTGACCTTTATATTACATTTTATTTACCTACATCAGTACAGTATGTGCGGGTATATACAGCTCGAGGTGATCATGTAATGTTAATGTTTCTACCAGCAGATGGAGACAAAAGTATGCTGTAGGACATCTAGAAGACTGGAAAAGGCAGTTTTGTGCTGCCTTTTCATTGATGAAGGTAGTTTGTTTTTGACAGCCTCTCTCTACGGTGTCTCTTACCGAGAAGTTGTCAGATCTATTATTAGAAGTGGAGAGGATTTATTTGTTTCACGTGTGACATGCTTATGAGTTTCACAGGTTTTGGTGATAACATGCACTGCCATTAGCGGACACTTGTCAGCAGGAGAGATTTCAGTATAAAATGGTATATATATATATGTATATAAATATATGGTATATATATTTCAATGGTATAACAATATAATTATTAATTAGTAATGTAATTACATTCCTATTATGTTGTAATTACATCCAGGATGATATTTATAACTTTCTTTGTATATTTCAAGTACTGTATTTGTGTTTATATGTAAATAAACGCAGTACATATGTAGTTACAAACTTTTATTGTGGATGTTAGGACTTTGTAATTACATTGTTGTAACAAAATTACATCTGAGATGTAATATGTAATTGCAAATGTGTCTTGTGCGTGATTACTGTTGTGACATTGTAATTACCATACCTTCACACTGTAATTACATTGTAGTTACATCCAAGATAATATGTAGATTTGCAAATGTTTCTTTGTATATTACAGTATTTGGTTATCTATAGTTGTTTGTGTAAATATACACAGTACACATGTAATTACAAACTTAGTTACTATGTCAATACATCGTAAAGACACATTGATATTGCATTGTAATTACATCCAAGATAATATAAACTTAAATGTTTCTTTGTATATTTATTGTACAGTATTTGTGTACTTATACATAAATATATGCAGTACATATGTAATTACAAACATTTATTTTGGATGCATATACTGTGTAATAACAATGTAATCACAATGTAGCAATAACGTAGTAACAATGTAATTACAATGCAATAGCAATGTAATTACAATGTTACAAAAAATTACATTGTTATAAAAATGTCATTACATTGTAATTACAATGTATTAGCAATGTGGGTACATTGTTATAACAATGTAGTTACATTGATATTACATTGTAATTACATTTTACATCCAAGAATTTTTTTTTTACTGTTTGTGTATTTCAAGTGCTGTATTTGTGTATTTATAAGTAAACATACACAGTGCATATGTAGTTACAAACTTAGTTTGGATGACATTGTAATTACATTGCAAATATGCAATAGATATGTAATTAAAAACTTTTTTATATGACGTACTATGTAATTACATTGTAATTACTATTTTTTAATGTAGTAATAACATTACATAACATGTAATTACTCCATTGTTATAACATTGTAATTACATTGTAATTATATCTATAATAATCAGAGATGGGGACTCGAGTCACATGACTCGAGTCAGACTTAAGTCACAAAATTTAGTACTTGAAACTTGCTTGACAAATATCTAAAAAAGACTCGACTTGAGTTAAATTAGTTAAATACACAACTGTTCTTTATATATTAAGCATTTAAAAACAAAACATAACCGAAAGTTACGCATGCGCAGTATTAACAGCTCATCGGTTCTCAGATCTGTCCGAAAGAATCAGTTGAATTTGCTTGACTGGATAATTCGGTTCATTAAGAAGAACAGCTTTAAATGATTTGTTCGATTCATTTAAACGATTTTGACTTCAAGAAATCATAGAGTACAAATTATTACATTTTATTACAGCTAAATATGTATACTTTGTGGCTTATTTTCTGTCATTTATTTGTTGTCTGGTTTCTAATAGTGACAAACACTTGTTTGTTCCCTCAATGTTTGTTTGGTGAGCATATTTCCAATTCTATGCAAATTGAAAAAAAAAAAAAAAAAGTTAATAGCAGAAGTGAACCATTTGCTGACAGAGGACGGACACTGTAATTTATGTGTTTTTATTTAATTAACTGGTACTCAATCTAGAGCAGTAGGATGTTAAATCGTATTTTTCCCCTTAAAACCCTAACTAAAAACCCATTAGGTAGCTTCTAACTAATGTGTATCTGGAAACTGTTACGTGCACAGACGGAGGAACAGGAGATGTATTTTTGTGGAGCACTTGAAACTACATAGAGTACATTACAAAAATGCGGATGTATTTATAGTGACAGGATTAGAAAAAAACATGTTGACGAGGTTTTCAATTATCTGTTGGGTTCTGTCCCCTTTAAGAGAAAGAGATGCGGGAAATCACATTGGATTCTGGGATAAAAACAAAACAAGAAAAAAAAGTAATGCTCAGCGAGTGACTCATGTTGTTTTGCGCAGATAACCCGTAAAACATATTTTCCTGTTCCCACTGTGGCAAGAAAGTTTAATCTTCTTTTTTGTATCACTGTTGTGAAGTTTCAACTGTCTGTTTGAGATCGCTAAATTAAGTTATGTTTTAATATGTTTTATTTTATGTTTGTAATTAGCTGATTAATGCTAATCTGCACTCCTTTTTTGCTTTATGTATTTAGCGATAATTGTCTGGGGATATTTTCTGTTGTATTAGGGAGTGTTTTGTGTTTGAGTATCCATTTAGAAGAGTGGTGGGCAACCTTTTTATACCCAAAGACCACATATTGTTTTGCAAACCAACTGAAGGGCCACATGTCAAATCTTTCAAAAAAAAAAAACTTTTATTTATAGTGGCAGTAGGCATGGAATATGTAATAGTAACGGAGGCCAGCTAGTAAACCAGGTAAACCTCACTCCTCTGACCTTCAAAGGTGCTCTAGCAAAAGATGCTAGAGGCCACGGTCATTAGCCTCCTTGTTAGAGCAACCGACTCCTATGTGGGAGGTTGCCGGTTCGATCCCAGCTCGGAACGGGTTGGGTGGCGTAGGACCGGTGGGGTTACATTGGTGCCGTGACCCGGATGGCAGTGAGGTTTAGTGGGGGTGAGTGTAACGGAGGCCAGCTAGTAAGTGCTGTGCAGGTAAACCTCACTCCTCTGACCTCTAAAGGTGCTCTAGCGACAGACGCTAGAGGCCATGGTCATTAGCCTCCTTGTTAAAGCAACCGACTCTCATGCGGAAGGTTGCCGGTTTGATACCAGCTCGAAGCAGGTTGGGTGGCATAGGACCGGTGGGGTTACATATAATATCGGACAGAAACATGTCACATTAACACAAAGCAGTTTTTTTATAGTTATTATTGAGTCATATTTACAAGTCAGATTATTTGCATTGCTTTTTATATTTACTTACTAATCATCATAAAACAATAAAATAATCCCTTATAAAATATAATAATAATAATAATGTAATAAATGTTACAGTGGAAAATAGAAAATATATTGTCTGATAGAAAAAAAATCATATTAACATTCAAAATAATTCTTAAAGTTTACTACTCAGTCAAATTTACAATAATCTACTTTGCACAGCTTTTAGAATATACAGATCAATCATCATATTACTTCATTAAACCACAAATATTTGATAAAAATACCTTTTTAAAGAAGATGTATTCATGGAAAATATATATTCTATGACACAAATTAACACATTTAACCAACAATTATATTATTTGAGTCAAATTTACAACAATATCATTTGAGCTTTTATAAATAAGCTCATATCAATCATTATAAAACGAAAGAAGAACCTTAGTCTTTGTTATTCAAGTAATTTTATTATGAGTGTGTTAATGTGAACAATGAGCCAAAAAAATAAAGTTATATCAGCAGCAACACTCTCGCAAAATACCCAGCTGATTCAGTCGTTGCCTAACGACATAAAAAAAGTGCACCGCGCAACTTTTTTCTTGTCAACAAAAAGGCAGTGCGGTGCACTTCGCATTTTTGATATGTAAATGTGTGGCGGTGCGATCAGCCCCTTAGGTTGCAGTCTTTAAAAACACCAATACTTTCTTGGCATATTAGACATACCGCTTTCTGTCCGATATTGGTGAAGAAGTATTTTGTTGTCCTTAAACACACAACATTCAGAGTCTATTTTTCTTTTTTTTTTCTTTTTTTTTTGCCTGATTCATTTTCAGTCATTACCCGTCGAGTGCATTTTAATATCCGAGAGTGTGTTCCAATTCTACTGGTTGCACATTCTGTACCGCGTGCAATACTGCTATCAAACTGCCATTCACTTGTATTGCATCAGTAATTTACTAATTCTGAAACCAAACCGATACTCATAAGCAGCATTTTAAAAACTCACTAGCGGTCTGGATGAAAGAGTTCAGTGGGCCGCATATGGCTCACGGGCCGTAGTTTGCCCACCTCTAATTTAGAAGTTCATATGCTCTTAATATATGGTTATGTTTAATTATTACACTAAAATGTTGATTATGCTAGGATGTGTCAGCTATCGAAGTGAAATAGCTTTGATTAATTATAAATATTTTCAGTGCTGTGATGATGATGATTGTCAGCTGTGTGTCTAATTAGAAGTCAGGTGTGAGTGTTTGTGTTGCTTGAGTAGAACCTGGGGCCTGTTTCACTAAGGAGGTTCAACCAACTCGGAGTTTAAACTTGAACTCTGAGTTGATTTACAGAGAGATTAAAAACTCTTGAGTTTGCAGTTTCAGAATAGCTGATCTGAGTTGGGTCAATCAACTTTGAGTGGAATATCATCATACATGTTACCTAAGCAACCTCAACATGGGAATGCTCACTAGTGACTTCTACAAATCTACAACATCAGACATCTACAAAGTTGCTGCTAGTGTGAATGGAGCTTCAGGAGTTCAGGAACCAAGTATCAAAGAGAAGGTAACATTGTCACAGTTAACCATCTGATTGCTCTGTCATCTCTTTTGCTCAGGATCAACCCTGTATAGTGGCTTAATTTTCAGGCACGTAATTTAGGGCACACCAACAATACACATTTTCAGCCTCTTCCAATTTAAACACACCTGAATCAGAACATTAGAAGAGACTCCAAGACCTGAAATGAATGGGTCAGATAAGGTAGACATCCAAAATATGTATTGTTGGTGTGCCTCCAGGAACTGGGTTGGAAAACACTGCTTTATGATGTCTTGTAGGGGGAGGGGGTTTCTAAGTTCCAACTACTGGGATTCCTCAGAGCTCTGTGCTTTGAACACTTCTAGGAAAATCTTAATATACAGTTGAAGTCAGAGTTATTAGCCCCCTTGAATTATCAGCACCCCTGTTTATTATTTTTCCCCGTTTTCTGTTTAACAGAGAGCAGTTTTTTTCCAACATTTCTAAACATAATAGTTTTATCTCTAATAACTGATTTATTTTATCTTTGCCATGATGACAGTAAATAATATTTGACTAGATATTTTTCAAGACACTTTTAAACAGCTTAAAGGGACATTTAAATACTTAGGTTAATTAGGTTAACTAGGCAGGTTAGGGTAATTAGGCGAGCTATTGTATGGTTTGTTCTGCAGACTATCCAAAAACAAATTAGCCTAAAGGGGCTAATAATTGTGTCCTTAACATGGTGTTTAAAAAATTAAA